TGTCAAAAAAAAAAAAAAGAAGAAGAAGAAATACTGAAAGATTTCCCTTATAAATGAGGGTACTATTGAATCAAAATTCATAGAGACAGAAAGGAGAATGGTAATTGTCAAGGACCAGGAGAGGGGGAAATGGCGAGTTAGTGGGTAAAGAGTTCAGTTTGGGAAGATGAGAAAAGTTCTAGAGAGTGATAGGGTGGTGATGGTTACACAACAGTGTGAATGTACTTAATGCCACAGAATGGTATGCTTAAAATGGTTTCAGTTGTAAATTTTTTGTTGTGTATATTTTAATACAATAAAAATATTAAAAGATTACATATGTGGATTACTTAGTGAAGTATCTGAAACATAGTTTAATGGTCCAATAAATATTAATTCCTTTCAAAAAAAAAAAAGAAAGCAGTGTTGACAAGAATGTGGAGAAATTGGAACCCTCTTTTTGTTTTTGTTTTTTTGTTTTGTTTTGTTTTGTTTTTTGATACAGAGTTTCGTTCTTGTCGCCCAGGCTGGAGTGCAGTGGCGTGATCTCGGCTCGCTACAACCTCTGCCTCCCGGGTTCAAGTGATTCTCCTGCCTCAGTCTTTTAAGTAGCCGGAATTACAAGTGCTCGCCACTGATGCCTGGCTAATTTTTGTATTTTTTAGTAGAGACAGGATTTCACCGTGTTGGCCAGGCTAGTCTTGAACTCCTGACCTCAGGTGATCCACCTGCCTCAGCCTCCCAAAGTGCTGAGATTACAGGCGTGAGCCACCGTACCCAGGCCTGGAACACTGTGGGTGGGAATGTAAAATGGTGTAGCCACTTTGAAAAACAGTTTGGCAGTTCCTCAAAGAGTTAAATATAAAGTTACCTTGTGACACAACATTTTTACTTCTAGTTAGGTACCCAAGAGAACTGAAAGCATAATCATGTGTTGCTTAATGACGGTGACACATTCTGAGAAATGCATTGCTAGGCGATTTCAATGCTGTGTGAACATGAGAGAGTGTACTTACACCCCTAGATGGGATTGCCTGCTACATGCCTGGGCTAGAGGGTATAACCTGTTGCTCCCTAGGCTTGCACACCTGTACAGCATGTTACTGTTATGAATACTGTAGGCAGTTGTAGCACAATGGTATTTGTTACAATAAACATATCTAAAAATAGAAAATGTGCAGTAAATATTTGATGCAAAAGATTTAAAAAATGGTACGGTTTGCCTGGATAGGGCACTTACCATGAATGGAGCTTGGAGAACTGGAAATTGCTCTCTGTGAGTCAGTGAGTGAGTAGTGAGTGAATGTGAAGGCCTTGGACATTACTGTACACTGCTGTAGACTTCATAAACATTGTACACTTAGGCTACACTACATTTGCTTAAAAATGTTTTTTCAATAATAAACCTAGTGAACTCTATTTTTACTTTATAAACTTTTTAATCTTTTCAACTTTTCAGCTTTTTTATAATAACAGAGCTTAAAACACAAACACAACTGTACAAAATATTTTTTCTTCATACCTTTATTCTCTAGGTTTTTTGTTTTTTAAATTTTTAATATTTGTTTTATTTTTTAAACATTTTTGTTAAAAGCTAAGACACAAACACACTCATTAGCCTTGGCCTACTTAGGGTGAGAATCATCAATATCACTGTCTTCCACCTCCACAGCTCGTCCCACTGGAAGGTCTTCAGGGGGCATAACACCCATGGAGCTGTCACCTCCTATCACAACAATGCCTTCTTCTGGATACCTCCTGCGGGACCTGCATGAGGCTGTTTTACAGTTAACATTTTAAAAATATATATAAAAAGAAGGAGTACACTCTAAAATGCTGATTTTAAAAGTATAGTATAGTAAATACATAAACCAGTAACATGGTCATTTAGTATCATTATCAAGTAACATTATTGCAGGTGCTATACTTTTATATGACTGGCAGCACAATAGGTTTGTTTTCACCAGGATAACCACAGATAGGTGAGTAATGCATTGTGCTAGAACAGCCACGCCCTTTCAGCTGCATTATACTCTTATGGTGCCACAGTTGACTGAAGCATCGTTAGGTGGAGCATGACAGTATTCACACAAAAACTCATACATATCTCTTCATAACAACGTTATTCATAATGGCCAAAAAAATGGAAGTCACCTCAATGTCCATCAGTGATGAATGGATAAACAAAATGTGGTTTATATATGCATTGACTTATTTAGCCATTTAGGAATGAAGTACAGGCTACAAAATGGTTGAACCTTGGAAACTTATGCTAAGAGAAAAAAGCCACACACAAAAGGCCACGTGTTGTATGATTACACTTATATGAAGTGTCAGGAATAAGAGGTAATTCATAGAGAAAGATAATAGATTAGTGTTTTCCAAGGATGAGGGAAGTGGGAGTTGGGGATATAGAGTTTCATTTTGGGATGATGGAAATGTTCTGGAAATAGATAATAGTGATGATGCACAACATTGTGAGTAACTAATAACCAGTGAATTACATACTCTAAAATGTTTAAAGTGGTGAATTTTGTGTTATGTGAATTTTACCTCAGTACAAAATTTTAAAAATCAATAAATGATCCCAAAACCAAAAACATTACAAGAAAGAAAACTGCAGACCAATATGTCTCCTTTAAAAAAACAAAAACAAAAACAAAAACAAAAAAAACTAGCAAATTGACCCCAACCATATATAAAAAGAATTACACAGCATGACCTAGTGGGATTTATTCCAGATAGGCAAAGCAGGTTCAGCATTCAAAAATCAATGTAATCCATTACGTCAACAGGTTAAAGAAGAAAAATCATATTCTTAATTTAATGTGGCAAAGCATTTGGTAAAATCCAGTTCATTATAAAATATTCTCAGCAAACTTGGACTAGAGGGGAGCTTCTTCAATAAAGAAATATCTACAGAATCCCTGCAGCTAACATCGTCCTTAATGGTGATAAAAGAGATGCTTTCCCTCTAAGATCAGGATCAAGGCAAGGAAGAGGTCCCTCTCACCACTCCTATTCAAACCCACGTTTTTTCTTATGAGTCTCTGAAGCTTAGTTATAAGTTATCTATCTTTGAATTTTTTTTCAATAAAAGAATCTTTTTCACCTTAAACAAAAGTATGTGATCTGAGTTTTGGGGTTTTTTTGTTCGTTTTTGTTTTCTGGTAATCATAGGTAGCCTGACACTGAGAGAGAGGACCAACTTTGACATCAGGGAGAACAGGATTTTTATTCTATCTTTGTCATTCGTTGGTTTTGTAGCTTTGAGCAAGCCACTTAACATTTCTAGCCTCTGCCTTCTCTGGCACAGGAAGGCCGCTCAGAGGGCTAAAGCCCCTTATCATCTAGGGCTGCTGTCATCCCCTTGGACTCGAATATGATAGATAGAAGGCTAAAGGCCCCCTCAGTGAAAAGAGGGGTGAGGTGCTAGGGGCCACTTTCTGCTTGAAATAGACTTGAGTATACTTGAACTCATTAGAGAGTTCACTTTTTATTCCCTCACTGATAGAACTTGAATTGAACATTTGATGATAGAGACATAAAAAGATCTTCACGAGTTTCTCCAAGAAGACACATCTTTTAGTTAAAGCCTGTGTTTTGATCTTGATGGTGGCTGGTACCCTGAAAGCAGATGTGTGTTGTAGAGACATCACAGTGTCACTGCTTCCCTACTCCCTTAGATTCTCCAAGGTTCAAATACCAGCTCTTAAAACATCAGGCATTTGTTGAATGACTGCCCTGTGGCTGTTCACTCTGGTTCTGACTGTATTGTATGGTAGCAATCCCAAAGGGCCATCTTGCTAAGGTTGTATTTGTTGTAAAATGATGAAATCATCCACTTTGCAGGGTCATTACAATGATTAAGCTAGAGAATGTATTTAAGTGCCTGGCACTTGTTAGACATTCAAAAATTGGCAGATGATATTATTGTCAGTAGAGCCACATTTGTCCATCCATACTGTCTAACTCTGTGTTCATGATCAAAAATGTGAAACCAGTGTCTTCTCTGTGACCTCACCACAGTCATGATGAGTGTGTTCATGCCCCATCAGACTGCCAGCCCTTGGGAGCAGGGCCCGGTGAGGTCCAGGTTGCAGGATGTCAGTCTTTGTTCATTCCAGTCAGCTCTGTTCAGTGACTGCAGATGCCCTCCACCTTACTGCCTGGAATATATAATAAGGCAAAAATCCTTCCACCTGATTTCATTTGGTAACTGAGAAGCTCTAAGACCTCAGTCAAGCTACTCCACCTCATTGTGCCTCACTTTTCCCATGTGTAAAATAGGGAGATGGGTTAACTGATATGAATAGCCTCTTCTAATTCTGGAATTGTGTGATGTGGTAACTGTGATCATGTTACTCTTGTTTATTAACAACTCTAGAAAATTTGCTCTTATTATCATTTGTACAAACACACACACACTTTGGCATAAGGGATACTTCACTTTCTTCTACATGGTTCTTAGGAATAATTCTGTCCTCCTTCCATGCATTTAATTTCTGAAAGAAAGTGTTCATCTAGAACTTTTGTATGACTTTATAAGACAGACTTCATTAAAAGAATAACGGTATGCTCCAGTTTTTTTATAAGTGCACATAAACTGACGGTAGTGATATATATGAACATCGCTCCTAATGTGTTTTGTGGTCACACTGGATGTGGCTCTCTCCAGTCCAGCAGCCCTAGCTTGTCTGAGGAAGTGGCCCAGGCCCTTTGGTAACAGGAGCTATGTGTGGCAATAATCCTTGTGTTGGCACAAATGGGGCAGAGGGGGAACATTGGGAAGAGATGGATAGTTTTATTTTAATCACCAAAAACACTCAGACACACCAGTCTACAGGGGAATACCCCCACCCCCGACGAGAACCACTATTCTACCTTGTCCTTAAAATGGTTCTGCCGTTCAGCTTATTCTGGGGTGGAGAGAAGAAGAGAATGGTGAATCTCTGTGGGCCGTGTTCTTCCAGCCTCCTTAGGATGCTTTATAGGTTGTTTTCTTTTCTCTTGGTTTTCAGCGCATCAGAGCAGAGTGACGATGATCCTGTTTGTCCTGGAGCTGGAGTGGGTGCTGAGCACAGGACAGGACAAGCAATTTGCCTGGCACTGCTCTGAGAGTGGGCAGCGCCTGGGAGGTTATCGTACCAGTGCCGTGGCCTCAGGTCTGCAGTATCCTTTGCTGGACAAAAATCTCTTAGTAGGAACTTAACTCTGATTCATGAAATTTTGGGATGTGTGCAACTTGAAAGTTTTGTTAATGACTGAGTTGCCCAGTATAGATTACAATGCTCATAGAATTTCCTAAGGCACAAATCATCAAGAGTTCCCATGTAAGTAGAGTGAAGTGCGATCACTTGACCTGAAATAATAGACTGCTGAGCCATTTGTGAGTCTACTGTAACACAAGGTCTGACATCTAGACAGAACACAGTGCAGATTCATGAACCTCAGCTGTCAGAAATAATTATGGTACGTGAAGATGAAATCATCACCAAAATGTAATCTTTGCTCTTCGTACAGAAGTAATTTACACATAGATACCAAGGTTGTGAACATTCCTGTTGGTGCCTGGGAAAAGAACCACAGGATTCTTGTTCAGTTTTAAATAGTTATTGCCAGGTTACCAAGCTAGGACCAGAGTGGGTGAGCTGGTATCTACATGGTGATGTTAAAAGCTTTGTTCCAGGAATGAGACATTTTCAGGATATGTAGAGTGATATTTTTGTTTCCCAAATTGCCAGGGTCCTCATGCTCATGGTGAATCCTTGCTGATGCTGGGTAATGCTCACATCTGCCCAACTAGGCTCCAGCAAGCACAGTAATGACTAGTGTGTAGCACGTGTGGATGCGGCTACCACTGTAGGGAGTAAAGGACCCTGGGTTCTTAGTTTTAAAAGCATATGGTCTCTTTATCTTCTGACAAATTAAGAAGTAGGTAGAAACAGGCCACTAGTCAGGCAAAGCAGGAAGAAACAGTAAGTCCTGCTTTCTAATTTCATCTCCATATTTATAAAATGCCTATTCAGTGATTCTCAACATCTGACAAAGTACATTGCTGTTTCTGTGAAACTGTGTGGCATTCAAAGGTATATTTTTGTGTATATATAGGCTAATATCACTCTTATTTTTCTCACTAGAAGAGCAAGGTGAAGAAACTAAGAATGACCATTGTGGAAAGTTGTAAAAGTAGCAAGTTGCTGAGAAGACCAAAGGCAAGGATGATAAGGAATGGCAGGCAGGATCAGCTCATCTTTGAGAGGGTAGTACTACCGGTTAATAAAAGAAACGCCAAACTTTACTTTCTAAAAGCCAATTCAGATGAGCATAATACGTAAGTTGAAATACATGAACTCTCTTGCCAATACATAAATGACGTCTTAGTGTTAGAGCTGGAAGGACACTTAGAGATCACCTAGTCCAACCCTCTGTCTTCGTCCATTTGGGCTGCTATCATAAATTTCTGTAAACTGGGTGTCCTTTAAACACCAGCAATTTATTGCTCACAATTCTGGAGGCTGGGAATTCTCAGATCAAGGCACCAGCAGGTTCAGTGTCTGGTGAGGGCGCTTGCTTCCTGCTTCATAGACAACATCTTGCTGTGTCCTCACATGGTGAAAGGGCAGAGGACCTTTCTGTGGCCTTTTTTTATAAGGGCACTAATCCCGTTCATGAGGATTCATCTCCAAACACCATCACATTGGGAATTAGGTTTTAACATATGAATTTTGGGGAGACATAATCATTCTGTCTTCCTTATCTCTTTCTCTCTGTTTCTTACACACACACACACACACACACACACACACACACACAGAGTAACTGGGTGGTGATGGATGTGTTAATCAATTTGACCATGACTATTACACAGTGTATATGTATATCACATCATCACATTCAACATTTTGAATATATACAATCTTTGTCAATTAAATACTTTTTTAGAATTCAGTCTATACTACCTTCATTTTACAGATGAGCTGGCTGAAGCCCAGAAAGAGTCCTGTGTCTTATCTGAGGCCACCCAGCTAGTAAGTAGGAAAATCCTCACAAGAACCCAGGCCTTCTGCCTTGGACTCCTGTTTTTTTCCCATTGTACTGCATTGCTCCTTCAAAAAGGAACTAATGGCATCAATATAATTTGGTCTTATTCTGGTTTCTGTATCACTTAGCCAAGCCCAGAAAGTATGGAAAAAAATACAGATCTTGCCCTCAGAAAGCTAACTTTTTAAACTATTTGAAAATAAAAAACAAATGGATAGTGTCCAACTTTCCCTGACTGATGTAGTCTTTGATGTAGGATTATAACCACCACAGCTTCTCCCTTCGGGCATCTCCAGGAATCATCCTCATTTGGTGACTATTCCCTTTTCCCACATCATGTGGTTTACCAAGCAGAAAGTCGTGTGATTGGGTATGAGAAGCCTGTGTGTGTGAGAGTCTCTGGTTTCAGTTCCATCCAGCCAGCCTCACTGTTCAGGTGGTGGAGAGGTGCAGTACTACAGACAGGCCCTCCCAGAAGATTCCCTGACTTCTGCCAGCTCTGCCTTGCCAACTATGATTTTGGAGCCATGGTTTCAACCTTTGCTCTTGAGTATTTTTCCATTGCTAAACACTGATGGCATGACAGCTCTGTGCTTTTGCCAGAGGGTCTCAGCCAATAACCATGTGACTTTTCTAAAGCTGGAAGGTTTTTCTGGGAGCTGGCTGATAGATTAATAGGCAAGCCATACAGTATTAGGGGTTCACATTTAAATTTAGCTTTTAAAAACATTTCCTTCTGAGAACTTCCCACCGCCTCCCCTCTCTTCCTTCTTTTTGTCACCCTCCACACTTACAGGGGTTTTGGTTTCGTCATTGTTTGTTTTAGTGATGAAGGGAGGAGGAAGATCTGATGAATCAACATAAAATATTATGAATAATATCATTAATCCTATTTATCTTCATAGTAGACAGCTAATGGTTGATAAGAGACCTCCACAGATGAACTCATTCTCTTCTATCACCACCTCAAACAGTCATTCAGCCAAGGCAACAAGTGACAGACTAAAACAGATTGAATTCAGCCTTTATTCCTCTTCTTTCAGGCATCTTAGTGGAGAAGTAAATATGCAATGAAAATGACCAAAATTCAAGTAGAAAAATAAAGGAAGACAAAGAGACTGGTTCATAAATTGAATTGTCAATTTATGAGTAACCTCAAATTTTTTGATTGTTTTGACTGAAGATCTGAAACTTCAAATATAAATTACCTGTAATAGGAACAACAAGAATGACAATAATAATAGAGAAGGAGAGGAAAGGAAAAGGATAAAGAAAGAAATATCTTAGATTTGCAGGCCCTGAAAATATCTTAGATTTTCAGGCTTTTACGTATTACTTTGTTCACTGTCAAAACAATAATGTGAAGTAAAAACAAAAGACCTAATTCTCAGTTTTCACAGTGTAGAAACCAAGGCTCAGGGAGTAGGTGACTTGCTCAAGGTCACGTGACTGTTGGCTAGCAGAACCAGGATTAGAATTTGGGGATTATAATTTTTCAGCCAGCCCTCTGCACAACTGGGTACAGCAGAATAGGGTTACTTCCCAAACGCCCCATGGAAGGTAGATGATAGTAAATAGAAATGTGTTCCTTCCCCACTTCACTTGTTAGTCTTTAAATTTGTGAATACTTTATCCAACGTCATTTGTCAGTGTCTTGTTATTTGACCATGTTTTTATCATATTTTTCATGTTTTCACAAAAATAATTCAAATACTCTATTTTAGGATTTTGTTCATGTCAGAGATATTTCCAAAATGTCACCATGTGTAGTGGAATGTTTCCCACCTAATGTAATCTCTTAGATTTATTTCTGTTCAGGTGAAGAGTTCTGAAAAGCTGTTAAGATTATGTCAGTTTCTTCCTATCATACTTAATGCCAGTCATTCACATCCACTGTTGGTTCTTCTATCCCTTTTTGCTTTCTCTCAATTTTTGCTGGAGTATTTTAAAGCAAATTCTAGACCTTATATCATTTTATCCTTATATACTTCATTGAAAATATATGAGTTACTTTTTCGGTAATCACAATGCTATTGTTACATCTAAAAATTAACAATCTTTGATCTCCTTGATATTGCTGAATTTCAGATTTCACTGATTATTTTGAAAATGATTTTTGTGCAGTAGGTTTGTTGGAAATTGGATCTGGACAAGATCCACACATTGCATGTGTTTGTCACATCTTCTAAATCTTTCTTCATCCAGAGCAGTGCCCCCTTCACTTTTTTTAATGCCACTGCCTCGTTGAAGGTACTGAATCAGTTCTCCTGCACACAGTCCCACATTCTAAATTGATGTCATTTAACTTGCTCCTGTACCTACCTTCCTCACATATTTTCAGTAAACTGAAAAACTGCCCTATAATCTTGATTTCATTCAGATTCAGCCTTTTAGTGAGAGCATTTGGTTCTCACCAAGCGTGCTTCATAGAGCTTCCCATTATAAGGCACATGGCATTGCATTGTCGCCCTTTCAGTTATGCTGAGATTGATCGGCAGTTCAGGTGGTGACAGCCGGATCCCTGCAGCGCCGTCCTCCATACCAGCCTTTTAATGGTTTCATCTGTTGCTGAGCTTTGCCGGAACACTTTTTCGTTAAGGTTGCAAAATGGTGATTTTCTAATCCTATCGTATTTTTCCCATGTATTTGTTGGAATACTTCTAAAGCATAACTTCCCCCCCTCACTAACTAGGGCTATTTGGTTACCCTGAAATACAATTATTAAAAAAAGCAAGATAAATTCTTATATCTTTCTTTTTAGTCCTAATTTTCAGAGTACAAATTTGGTGCCCTGGTTACTTTTAATAGGAATATTTTTTTTTTCTTTTTGAGCACTATTACGAAATCTTAGGTTGATTGGTTGTTTTTAAATAATAATATGTTCAGTATATATTTCAATAAACTGCCATCTTTTTATTTTATGTTCCAGTTATTCTATCTTTGGCCAGTAACAGCTCCATTAAATGGGCTGCAATGTCTTTTTTTATTTTTTTTTTTTTTTTTTGAGATGGAGTTTCACTATTGTCATCCAGGCTGGAGTGCAATGGCACGATCTCAGCTCACTGCAACCTCTGCCTCCTGGATTTAAGCGATTCTCCTGCATCAGCCTCCCGAGTAGCTGAAATTACAGGCGCCGACCACCACGCCCAGCTAATTTTTTGTATTTTTAGTAGAGACGGGGTTTCACTATGTTGGCCACGCTGATCTTGAACTCCTGACCTCATGATCCGCCCGCCTCGGCCTCCCAAAGTGCTGGGATTACAGGCATGAGCCATCACACCCAGCCCAATTTTTATGTTTTAAAGACTATTTTTTAGAGCAATTTTAGGTTCACAGCAAAATTGAGCAGAAAGTATAGAGATTGCCTATGTGCCTCATGAGCTCAACATGCATGGCCTCCCCATTACCAGCATCCCCCACCAGAGTAGTACGCTTGTTACAGTCAGTGAACCTACACTGGCACGTCATTATCACCCGAAGTCCATAGTTTAGGGTTCACTCTTGGTGTTGTGCGTTCTGTGGATTTGGACAAATATATAAAGACAAGCTACAATTACAATGGTAATTGTAGCATCATATGGAATAGTTTTACTGCTCTAAATAGCCTCTGTACTCTACCTGTTCATCCCTTACCACCGTGTCTGAAATAAGCCCACTTAGCCTTGGGTAGCTTCCTTGCCTTCTGACTCAACATGTCTCAAGTTCCTCTTGTACTTTTCCTATCCCAATCCTGGAATCAGCCATTTTTTTAGTGAGGAACAATATTCAGAGATAGCTGAGAAGTATATATAAATGTGTGTGTATTTTTTAAAAGAGAATAAATCATCAGTTAATATAATATTTCTTATTCAAATTTAACATTACGGGATGTTTACTTTTTGGTTTTTGTACTTGATTCTTTTATCTGAGGCTGAAAATCTTGGTTGTTAAAACACTGGCATAGTTCCTCGTTTGCTTTATCCTATGTTTTATTTAAATGGTTCCAAAATAATGAGCAATACTAAATAACAATAAGACTACTGAATGAGATTTTAGATTTCTTTGCAACTCTCTTTGTCCTTAGAATATATTCTACCAGTGATGGAGGTGAGACTTCCCCCTTGTCATAGTTCCCATTTTGGAATCCTGTAATATTTTTACATATTAAAAAATACATAAAATTTTTGCTCAGGCATGGTGGCTCACACCTGTAATCCCAGCACTTTGGGAGGCCAAGGTGGAAGGATCACTTGAGCCTAGGAGTTTGAGACCAGCCTGGACAACAAAATGAGACACTGAAACATTGAAAATGTTGTGTTTTAAAGGCACTTGAAATCGTTCTAATTATGTGATTATGTCACCAATTTGATAGGTTCATTCATTTTACTTTGTTTTCAATTTGGGGGATTTTAAAAAAATATATTTGAGATATATATGTATATATATATTACATATATATATTCTTTTTTTCTTTTTTTTTTTTAAGACAGGGTCTCACTGTGTCACCCAAGCTGGAGTGTAGTGGCTTGAACATGGCTGACTGCAGCTTCGACTTCCTGGACTCAAGCAATCCTCCTGTCTCAGCCTCCCATGTAGCTGGAATCACAGGCATGTGCCACCATGCCCAGCTAATTATTTTAATTTTTGTAGAGGTGAGGTCTCACTTTGTTGCCCAGGCTGGTCTCAAATTCCTGGGCTCAAGTGATCCTCCCTTCTTGGCCTCCCAGAGTGGCTCCCATGAGCCACTGTGCCTGGTCACAAATTTTATGTACCTTTTTTTTTTTTTTTTTTTTTTGAGACGGAGTCTCGCTCTGTCGCCCAGGCTGGAGTGCAGTGGCTGGATCTGAGCTCACTGCAAGCTCCGCCTCCCGGGTTTACGCCATTCTCCTGCCTCAGCCGCCCGAGTAGCTGGGACTACAGGCGCCCGCCACTTCGCCCGGCTATTTTTTTGTATTTTTTAGTAGAGACGGGGTTTCACCATGTTAGCCAGGATGGTCTCGATCTCCTGACCTTGTGATCCGCCCGTCTCGGCCTCCCAAAGTGCTGGGATTACAGGCTTGAGCCACCGTGCCCGGCCTTATGTACCTTTTAATATGTAAAAATATTACAAAATTCTAAAATAGGAGCTATGACGGGAGAAGTCTCATTCCCATCACTGTCCCCTCACCTTGCCACTTTTGTTAGATCTTAATCCTTCTAGTGCTTCCCTTTCTAAATATGAGTGCACACATGCAAATGCACACACATACATATATACACTTTTGTATTTCTCTCCGTTTCTCACACAAAGGTAGTATAGCTTATAAACTCTGATATGCCTTGGCTGCCCCACACACACACACACTTGATAATATATCCTGGTGTTTGTGTATACAGATCTCCATTTTTCCCCCAGCTGCATAGTATTCTATTGTGTGGATGTAGCATAGTTAATTCAGTAAGTCTCCTCTTGATAGACGTTTGGGTTATTTTCAAACTTTAGCTATTAAAATAACATGGAGTGACTAGCCTTGGGCATGTGTCATTTTGTATTTTTGCCTGTGTATCTCTGGGTAGATCTTTAGAAATAGGGTTGCTAGGCTTTGTCAACCAGAGAAGCTTGTTAGAGACTCCATGCCTAGGGCTTTTACTGGTCATGTAGGCAGGTCTGCCTGGGACATTCCAAAATTCCAGATTCCCAGAAGGAAAGCAGGTATTCAGTGTAAGCCACAATGTTTGAACAGTTAAGGCACAGTGAACCACTCTTATCAGTTAATGGTGGGAACCTTCCCAAAATCCAGATTCCCAGACACTATGCCAACTTCATAAGCTGGCTTTCAGAGGATCACAGTCAGAGCTGCTGTGTTAACTCTTTTTGCACAGCACCATTTTGATTTATTCTTGAACTATCTATTAATAGCTCCATTCAAATTTTGCCCATTTTTCTATTAGGTTTGGGATCTTTTTCTTCTTGATTGCTCTTTTTATATTAGAGATTTGGGCCCTTTGTGACATAAATTGCAAATATTTTTTTCCAGTTTATCTTTTGGCTTTGCTCATAATATTTGTTGTGTTTTTGAGTCATAGCTTTTCCCACTCCAAGGTTACAGAGAAACTTTCCTATCTAAAGCTTCTGTTTTCATTTTCTACATTTAGATCCCTAATTCATTTGGAATCTGTCCTGGTATACATTGTGAAATACAGATTCTATTTTCTTTTTCCAAATGGCTATCCAGTTTGTGCCAACATCATTTTTTTAAATTCATCTTTTCCTTATTCATTTGTAAAGCTACCTTCATCAGACATTTACTAAATTTCAATGTGCTTTTGGGTTTATTTCGCAACTTTGTATTCTGTTAGTCTGTTTATGCACCAATACCACACTTTTAATTAAAGAAACTTTATAACATTTTTTAATATCTGGTAGGGCTAACCTCCCTATCACATACCATATTGTTCTTATTTTCAGAGTATTCTTGGCTCTTTTTGCTTATTTATTTTTCCATATGAACACTTCTAGCTGTAGAAAACATGTGGTGATATTTTTAAAATATATAGATTTATGTTATTAATTTAGGAGCAAGAAGTGACATTTTTAAGTCTTACTGTCCAATAATACAGTATGTCCTTCATTTGGTTAAGTTCACTTTTGTGTCGTTCAGCACTGTCTTCAAGTTTTCCTCAGATGGGATTTGCGTATTTCTTGTTACATTTATGCCCTGTTTCTTCATTGTAAATTCCCCCATTTAATTTTGAGAAACAATCCTTAATGCTTACATGATAGATTTGATGTTGAAACCCGGCATGTGTTTATTGGTGACCACTCAGGCCAAGTAACAATCCTCAAACTGGAGCAAGAAAACTGCACCCTGGTCACAACATTCAGAGGACACACAGGTACGATTAACAGCAAAATCATCATACGCTGATAGCACAGTGAGATATCGCCTGCTGCATCTCCTGATGTTCAGATATGTTTTGAAAGTGGCAAAGTACAGTCCATGCTTGTGCAAAGATACACATGATACGCTTAACTGATTTCAAAATGGTTCAGTAAAATATAACGTCAAACATTTTTCTGTATAATCCAAACAAAAGAGAAACCAATCTATTTTGAAAATGTTGATAATTTGGTTCTCTGTCATATTGCACCAGAGAAAGCCAGTGTTGGCATACATTAATGAGGCATTGTTTGAGAGCATGTGGCTTCAGACGGCTGAAACCCCAGAAGGCCAAAAAGACAGCTACCTTGGTCTGACCTTGCCTTTCCTGGAGTTAGAAGATGGTGTACAAGAAAGATTCCCACTTCCAAGTCAAATGAAAAGACAGATATATTCTTCATGAGTAGCTAGACTTTGTGAAAAGGCTCAAGTTCCTCTCCAACTTTACTTCCTTCATATCCTTTTCAGGTTAAAACCTAAGGTCCCCTTTACGTTATTGCTCTGCTCAGGGTCATTTAAGCAAGGTAGTATAAAATATTCATGCTTAGCCTTTGAAAGACTTGATCAATGATGATGATTAATTTTTTACTAGTAGTTTTAACATGTACTATTGACTCTAGAACATATCGACCCTAGAAAATGAGTCATTGCCAGTTTTCATGGTTCTTAAAGGGCCTTTCCGTTTTCTACCAGCTACCAACCCATGATTTTGTGTAAAATGAGATAATACTGAGTTTAGATGTCGATAAGAAAAAAAGTAGGGGAAAGAGGATATAAAATTGGATAATACCTAGATCATAAGGGGCTTCCTAAAGGGAAAAAATGGAATGCTAGAATAAGAAACATATAGTAAGGAGAAAATTGAATACAAGGAAGAAGATTCATAAAAGATCATCTGAATTATTTATGCCTTTGGGAGGAAGAACACATGGAAATATCCCCTATGGATAGGACCCTGGTCTTCCCTGACTGAATTTCTTTTTTAGCCACTTACACCCTCACCTACACTTTGGCCAAGACTGGGCCTGGGGTTCTGTAGGGGACTCAGAACTGTCCCACCTCAGAAGTCTTAAACTTCTGTGCTTTACGCAGACTTCAGCCTCCTCATCCTCCAATTCCCTACACCCTTTCTTCATTCCACTTACTGTTTCCCCTTGTGGCGCATTCCAGCCTGTGGTCCCTCCATTTTTCCAGCGTCTCAGCCCCTGCATCACCTTTCCTCCCAGTGGTGCATCGCTTCACCCATGCCTTCCCAGCATTCTCAGTTCTGTGAATGTAAATATTCTGCCTTCCTGGCAAGCCTGTCTGATTCAGACTAACTCTCCACCTTTTCTTGTTGTGCAGCCAGCTGCTGGGTCTATAGTAGTCACACTGCCTTGAGGTTTAGACCATCATTACCATTGCACACTCAGGATTTCCTGTGTAGACTTATGAAGTTGCCTAATAATCACTCCCCCTGTCCTCAGTTCGCTCCTTCTTCCAGGCCCCTAAACAGAGACCTTCACCATCCTTCCCAAGCCCCCATCCCCATCTCATTCCTTGCCTCTTCCTTCAAAAGCTATCAGATAGAAGCTTAAAAAGAAAAAAAAAAAAAGTATTTCTTGCCCACTGTATATCCCCCCCACCCCAACAAACAAACTTTTTCTCTCCCCACTTCTCCTCTTCTCAGTGCAGGAGAGCTGCCTTCCTCTGGCCCATTCTCCTCTTCTCAGTGCAGGAGAGCTGCCTTCCTCTGGCCCATTCTCCTCTTCTCAGTGCAGGAGAGCTGCCTTCCTCTGGCCCATTCTCCTCTCCTCAGTGCAGGAGAGCTGCCTTCCTCTGGCCCCAGGCTATTCGCAGGGTGTCCCTACCAAAATGGATTGCCTTGGTCTCTCTTTTGACTAACTCTTTTCAATTTATTAACATGCTTATGTTTTTTGCCTCTGGTAGAAAAACAAACCAACACCCTCTCAATCCCGTGTCTTATAGCAAGTTCCTTCTTATTCTCTTAATAGCAATGCTTTAAAAATTGTGGTAAAATGTATAAAACATAAAATTTACCATTTTAACCATTTTTAAATGTACTATTCAATGACATTAACTGCATTCACACTGTTGTGCAATCATCAACACCATCCATCCCAGAACCTTTTCCATCTTGTGAAACTGAAACTCTGTTCCCTTGGACATGAACTCCCCATCCTCTCCCCCTACCCTCCCAGTCCCTGGAAACTGTTACTCTGCTTTCTGTGTCTATGAATTTCACTAGTCTAGGTGACTCATAAGAGTGGAATCATGCAGTATTTGTCCTTTTGTGACTGGTTTATTTCACTCAGCATAATGTCCTCAAGGTTCATCCAAGTTGTAGCAAACAGCCGTGTTTCTTAGAAGAATATAATTTTCCCAGCTGCTTCGCATTTTTCACTTCCAATTTGCCTTCCAGCTCCCTGCAATCTGGTTTGTCGTTACTATGCCACTGAAACTGCTGTCCCTGAGGTGACCAGTGGCCTGCTGGGACACGTTGTAAACCTTGTCGTACTTAACTTTTCAGCAGCATTTTACATTGTGGCCATTCCTTCTGGCTGTAACTGCCTTCCTTTGGCTTTTCTTCTATGATGCTGCTGGCTTTCTCGGGCTCCCCTGTGGTCGGTTATGTCCCCAGGATCTTCCCTGGATCCTCTTCTCTTTATGCTCTGTGCTGTCCCTTGTCATCTCAGCCATTCCTCCCAGTCACAGAGTAAAATTGTCATTATCCTCAAATTCTTCACAACCCAGTGAGAGACAAAAACTAAAGCACAGTTCTAGTGCGTGCTGGCAGGGGCTGGTGGGAGCGAGCACCTTGCGCTTCTGGGAACACAGAAGGGCAGCCCACTCGAAGGAGGTGGAGGCGGTTAGGAACGGCCTCCTCGGGAGTCTCCCTGACCTCAGATCTTTGGGGATGAGTAAGTATTGAGTTCATGGAAAACAACTGAGAAGAGCATCTCAGGCAGAGAAAACCAGCGTGTTCAAGGCAAGGAGATGTGCAAGAGCATGGCTCTCTTGAGAACTGCTAGTCACTCTTTTATGGTGGAAGCACTGGGCATGAGGGAGGGAGAGGGGAGGTCAGGGTGGAGGGGCAGCCAGAAAGCAAGAGTCACTTCCCATCACTGAGACCGTGCTGGGCATTATCCTGATGTCACTGAGAGACCATTAAAGAGTTTGAAGCAAAGAAGGTAACCTGATTGGATTTTAAAAGGTTGTCTGGCAGTAGAGAGTGGAATTGGAAAGCTAGTAGGGAAGTGTCCCTTGAGAGGGGACTGTGACAGTGGGAAAACAAGGAGTGGGTGGATTCAAGGTAGAATTCAGAGGTGCATTCCGCAGGCCTAGTGATGGACCTGATGGTTCCCAGGTTCGCTTTAGGCAGAGGTGGCTTTCAGCCTGACCTCTTGACTCTTCAGAAATCAGGCACGCACCCACTCACAGTATGGTGGCTGATAGGAGCCCTCTGAGTTTTGTATTGTTGCCTCCAGGTCAGAAAAGGACAGTAGCGACTTCTAAGCACTCTTGTCAGCCACATGTGGTTCAAGGGTCCCATGTTTTGCAGGCTTGTTCTGATATGAAATATGACCTTGGTATTGTGTCTTATCTTTCCTAAAGAGTTTAAAGCATTTTCACTTTATTTTTATCAAGAAATACATTTGAGAAAAACAGGAAATGGCTCAGGAAGGTCGCTAACTAACAGGAAGGCAAATGTAGCAGGTCAGATGTTACCTTATGATTGTTCCTAAACAGTGGTATCTGCCCATCACTAACGTGGCTGCAATACAGCTCATTCCTGTAAAGCTAGAGTGAGGACCTGTAAGAGAGTCCATGGTGATTTAGACATATTGTCGAGCTCTTCCTAAGTGGTAGGCTCATTCTGGGCCCTGGGAGGTCCCAAACACAGCAAGTCTCAGTTCTGGGAAAGAGATTTTTGTAAGGACAAAATGAACACCCTAAAGTTAATCCAGTTCCATTAAAGGGCAGCTTTGGAGGTCCCATCACTCCAGATGCAAACTCAGAAGCAGGTCTTCAGTATGCGTCCAGAGTCATAGCCCTTCACCCCATCATTCTCTCTTACAGTACAGAAGGTCATACAAAAATGTGGGTTAATGAGGGAATCGACCTAGTAGTCATGCCCAGAGGCCAAAGCATAACATTTTTCTAATCTCTAGGGATTTAGGAAACTAGTTTTATGTTCTTATGCTCCCTCTACTGGCTTTCTTTCTGGAGCTAAATGCCAAATATCACAGTTCTTTGCTATTTCTGCAGAAAGTAGAATGTATTTCTATGAAAAAGTCAAAAACTAACTTAGAGGAGTTGCTTTTGTTTTTCTTGTTTTGTTTTGTTTTGTTTTGAGACATAATCTCGCTCTGTCATCCAAGCTGGAGTGCAGTGGCATGATCTTGGCTCACTGCAACCTCCACCTCCCAGGTTCAAGCAATTCTCCTGCCTCAGCCTCCCGAGTAGCTGGGACTACAGGTGCCCGCCATCATGGCCGGCTAATTTTTGTATTTTTAGTAGAGGCAGGGTTTTACCATGTTGACCAGGCTGGTCTTAAACTCCTGACCTCAAATGATCCACCTTCCTCAGCCTCCCAGAGTATTGGGATTACAGGCATGAGCCACCGCACCCGGCCAAAAATCGTATTTTGACCATTGGAAATTAATAGTGTTAATACAATCTTTTTTCTTTTATTTCTAAGAAATTATTTTATAGCATGAACATATTTGAAACAGGAGGGCTTGAATGTAAATCTGCCAAAGCAAACTAATTAATGAATAATTAAATGCAGACTTGTTCATGAGCTGTTAGGGGAATCATTGAAGGGGGAACAGTGTAACTATAACAAAAGAAACTAAACAAACTAAGAAAGTCACAGTTCAATGTAAAGAGGCAAGTTCATATAATTTAGAACTTCAATTTTTGTTTACAGTGGAGACTCACACAGATCCAGTG